AATTTAAAGAATTTTTTTAAAAGTTAAATAAAATAATAAGTCATGATTTTAAATATATATATATGTTGCATTTTTGCAACCCCTGCATGAACAGGCGTTATTATTGCACATTGTCCAACTGATTCACTTGTTCATTCAACTAAATTTAACAAACAACCAAAAATAAAAAAGATGGTGAATTTCAAGTAATAGCTTTGTCCCACAACTACCAAAAAATTTTCAAGATCATTATGATCATGCTGTGTTCAACAAAAGTTCTATAACAACCTTTTTCTTTTAATTTAAGGTTTTTAAACTCTGGCTTTAGAAAACTAAGGGAAAGATCAGTGATTCCAAAGTAATAATTAAGGGAAGAATGGAAGGAAAGATTGATAGACTGATAGATAATTGATGGATAGGTACATAGATGATTGATTGATTGATAGATAAATGTAGATAAATGCTTAAATATATAGATAGATAAAGATGACATAGTTTTCCAAAATTTTTACAGAAACTTACAGAATGAGTTATGACAATTTCATGACAGTCTTATACTAATGACAAAGAACAGTAAATGAAAAAAAAAAACTTTACCTTTTCACCTGGAGGGCCAGGAGGGCCTGGGGGACCCTGGGAGAGAAATCACTTTAATTAAATATGATTCAACTCTAGTGAGCCTTAAATCCTTCTTTGTGCTAAAAATCATCTTAAGATTCCGTGGTTAACATGATCATTTATTTGTTAAGTATTTTTCCTGTGCAGTAGAACTGTAAAACTTTAAAAATAACCAGCAATTGGTCCAGGACAATTATTAACAGGATTGGAAATACCTCAAAATCTTAGGTGTTGCCCTGTGGACTCCCATAACCTAAGAACGCACCAAGATGAGCTGCTAGAATGAGGCATGGCCACCAGCCAAACTCCCCAGGGTCCCCAGAGTTTTCACCTTGAGAATTATGTTTGTCCACTTTAGATATAATTGTTTATCTTAAAAAGCTGGGTTTTCTTTGAGTGAGTAGGCTATAGTGAAATTAGAAACTTCCAATGTTTGCAACAAAGTTTGAGAAAGCTTTTCCCAATCATTTTAAAATGGAAAAACTAGTCATTTTTGACTCATAAAAACTGCCCATTTATTTGCGAGAATATAAAAGAGACTACATTTACACGATGGATAGAAGAATAATTTCTGGATTTTAGAAAAAAAGAAAATGAAAAAAAAGTAAATTAAAAACATAAGCCTGAGACGCTCTAAGAGCACTCCGTCAGGCCGTGGAAGGATGGCAAACTCGGGGGCGTCACCTGGAGCTCGCGAACATGGCACTTGGAACATAGGTGCATCTCCTTGACTGTAACTCTCTTGCGCTCTCAAAAATGTCACAGTGGGGAGGAAATGATGGCTTCCTTCCACTGAGAATTAGTAACTGTGCAGGAGGCCAACGACAGCACAGTCTCCTGGAGGTTCATCTCCGGGTGCTCGGTTTGTAAATTCTTAATAACAAATAAAGTGCAGTTTCTGCATTGCCGCCTGGTTGTGTCCACAGCTCCCAGCAGATCCAGAGCTTCTTGTATGATTATGTTTCTGCAAATCCGTCTCCCCTGCTCCAGGTGAGGTCACCCATGCAGAGCCTGCCTTATCCGTCTTTGAACTCCACTGTCTCAGTCTGTGGGTATCCCTGGTTTCCAGCCAGCCCCTCAAACAATGACTGTGTTACCTGTTTTGACTATTATTACCCTTTCCCCACAGCTCTGGGAATATGAGGACCATGGATGCTGACCAAACATTTTCATAAGAAAGAAGCTGATTCTGCCATATCTAAATTAAAAGGGATCACCTTTGCATAGAGTTTTCATAAAATCACTCATTTTCACACCTCGACACAGCGCTCTTTGAATAGCTGCCTCAGAGAGATATCCCCAAACACTTACTGGTGGTCCAGTAAATCCTGGAGGGCCAACGGGACCTTGCAGCCCTGGTAATCCTGGTGAGCCCTATAAATGATTGAGAAAGAAAAGAATTAAAATGCAAGCTAGGAGGTGGTGCAGCCCGTGCTTATAATTCTTTAGCAGATGCTTACTGGCATCCCTGGGATTCCAGGAAACCCTCTTTCGCCTTTCAACAGTGTCCCAGGCACATGGCCCAGTATTTGACCTGGGTCCCCCTAGAGGATGAAAAAGAAGAGGAAGACATAAATATTCATGTAAAGATGCTTGAAATCACCTGAATAATAGGCAGGTATTACTGGTACGGGAGTCTAAGCTGGAAATAAACAGACTGGCCATCTCCCCCTCTCATCACTACTGTCCCATGACCAGCATAGCTGCTGCACGCTCAACTCAGCTGCACCAAGGACGGAATACAGAGGCAGCTCACTGTGCACGTGACCGTCCCACATTCCAGACAAGGGCCCTGGTCGCTGGTAGAAAGACTGCGTGACCACAGGCTGTTCTCACAAAATAAGGATTATCTTCTGAGAAAAGAGTCAGGATAAGTATTCCCATAAAAGCAGGGTGTGATGGTAAACTTTATCCGTCCACTTGGCAGGGCTGTATTTTTTGGTTAAATGCCAGTCAAGGTGTTACTGGAAGGCATTATTTAAATCAGTGGAAATTTAAATCAGTAGACTCTGAGTAAAGAGATTACCCTCCCTAATGTTGGTGGGCCTCATCCAATCAGTTGAAGGCCTTAAGAGAAAAAAGACCACCCTGCCCCCAGGAAGTGGGAATTGTCCCTGCAGACGGCCTCAGCCTCGGACCGCAACGTCTGCTCTTGCCTGGTGTCCAGCCTGCTGCACGCCCTGAGAATTTTGAACTTGCCAGCCCCCACAGTCTCATGAGCCAATTCCTTAAAATGAATCTCCCCTCTCTTCTCTTGTTCATCAGCTCTGTTTCTCTGGAGAACCCTGACTAATACACACGGCTGTTATGAGGACACTGTCTCCTAGGAATTCTTAAACACGGGACACAGGGACGCTCGCCCCCACTCAGACACAGGGCTGTCTCTCGTGCAGCTACTGGAAAACTAGAAGCTTCGCCTTCCCATGGCTGCTCCACATGCCCGGCCACTGCGCACCCCGGGCTGTCCAGGCCCCGTGCACAGCTGACGACGGGCGGTGCTCAGGCCAAGGTCAGGGCGATAGGAGCAGCCTAGCCCCGAGACAGGATCCCCTGCCTGGGAAAGGCCTTAAAAGGTTAATTTCTGTGAATTTAGCAGAGGGTCCTCCTGAGCACAATTCTTCTGTCCCCGCTCGCTGATTCCTAGTGAGGAGCTCTGGAGTGGCTGGGACAGGGCCCAGCCCAAGTGGACTCGCTGCCACACTCACCCACGGAGCAAAAGTGTGTCGTCTGCTCCCGGGAGAGCCCGTGGTGGGACAGTGGGAAGGACGGGACATATTTGGGAGAAATTCTGGATGTGAAAATGGCAGGACTTTGTGATTAGAGGACACAGGGAGAGATGGGCACAGAGGGGAGAAGAGGAGGAGGAAGAAGGAGAGGGAGCCAGGAGGAAGGGCAGGAGGGAGGGAAGGAAGGGATAAAAAAGAATCGACTCGATCACACGTGGCTCTTCCAGAGTAAAACCAAAGTCAGGAGGGACGCCTCTGGGTCTCTGGTGGGTGCCGCGGGTGGGGGTCCTCGCCCTGCTCGGCTCCAGCAGACAGCGGGGAGCAGACGGCGGGGAGGCGGCAGAGGTGGCCCGTGGTGTCTGTGGGACGCCAGGCGGGGGACAGAGTCGGGGAGGCCTGAGAAGAGGCCCACATGAGACCCCTGCCTCAGCAGGCCATGGAGGGGGGGGGACAGGAGCCAGGGCCCAGCGGCCAGTCACACGGAGGCCTCTGCCGGCTCCATCTAGGGCCCCTCTAGGGTGGGGCAAGAAGGCCCCTTTAAGAAAGCAGGGGCTGGGGCGTCTCGGAGGAGGGAAGCAGGGCTCAGGCCCCACCCTGGACACAGAGGGTCACAGGTAGCTCTGAATGAGGGGGCCGGGACACCGTACCCCTAACCTGTGGCAACTGGGGGTTTCCTGCAGAAATTACGGCTCTCATAACACAGCGACTACAGACGCTGGGCAACGCAAAGATTCGGTCGTATTTAAATGAAACTATTCAGGTTGAACAGAAGAAAAGTCTGCGTCCTTTGGGCGACAGGGCTCTGCAAGAGGGGCGTCAGTGAGAGGGCCCCGGCAAGCGGGCACACTCCGGGAACCGCATCGGCCACCACCCCACCCTTCCCGCTCCTGCCAGCTCCTATGGAGAAATTGTACCTGGTGTCTAAACGTTGGATTCTAAAATCCGAGTTTGTGCATATTGCTTCCAATAATGTAACAGACTTTAGGAAAATATGCTCATAAGCAATTAATCAGCTAAAGGGATTTAAAGGAGGTTTTTTTTTTTATGGTATTTGTTTTAAACAGATTCCCCGTAATTAACCCAATAAAATAAAATAAAACATACCTTCATTCCTGGTATCCCCGGCGGTCCCTAAAAATGAGAGTTTTGATATTAGTTTTGTTTTTCTCAAGATATCATTAGCATTAAGATGTAAGTGCAAAAAGAAAAAAAGAAAAAGAAGTAAAAGGAGAGGACAGAAATTACAACCAAAGAAAAAAATTCTGACTTAACCGTCTACTCGATATTAGTTTTGTTTTTCTCAAGATATCATTAGCATTAAGATGTAAGTGCAAAAAGAAAAAGAAGTAAAAGGAGAGGACAGAAATTACAACCAAAGAAAAAAATTCTGACTTAACCGTCTACTTACGGGATTTCCAGTGAATCCAGGCAAACCAGGCGGCCCCAGTGGCCCTCTCTCTCCCTGAGGAGACAGTGACAGTCACTCACACATACTGTCCTGCCCCCTGAAAAACAGCCTCTCATAAAGCAGCACCCAAAAATCAATTCCTCAAAACGGTTTGTTAAAACTATATTATTGGGCGCTACTTTACGAAAGAACAAATACACTTGATACCATAATTAGTAGGAACAGGGATTCGCAATAGCATTTCCTTATTTGATTTAGTAATTGACTTTAGGAAATAAGTTTAGTACTTAAAAACCATTTTAGGATAAAAGTCTATTTAAAAAGAAAGGCACAGTTACATCCTCCCTGTACATTAAATACGGGAAAACTGTATTTCCTTACCTAATAAAGAAAGCTTTAAGACAAGTACCTTTCCAATTCTGGCAAATAAAAATGTGTTAACAGAATAACTTGGCCTGATTTCTCCATGTGCAAAGCCACGTAAACACACACAAGGGGAGGGACTCGGCTCCAAGTTTACCTTTGTACCGTTGCATCCCGGGATACCTGGGGGACCTGGTGGGCCATCTTGGCCAGGAATTCCCTGTAATCAATAAAGTAAAAAGTAACCCAAATAGAAAGTCAGCTGATGGTAAAATATTTCATAAGAAAAGCAGAGTGCATTTTATATACGTACAGGAAGTCCGGGGTTTCCAGGGTAACCGGATGCTCCTGGGGGTCCCTGTAAGGATGGAAACGGGAGAGTTTCAACAGAAACTCCGGGAAGCCCCATTTCCTCTGACTCACCCACCTGGTGAGCGCAGCCGCACCCTGAGTTCTGGCTCTTAGAACCAGCACACTGAGCAGCCGGAGCGTTCCGGGGAGGCAGTGGCCCAGCCAGGGTACATCACCCGTGTTTGCAGGAGAAATTCCCCATCAAAAGCTGACCATTAACCACTTCTAAAATCAAGGTGCATGTGCACAAAATAACTCCGCCCTCATTTCACCGTTTGTAATGTCTAGGTTATAAAAAAGCATATACTTCACATTAAAATCTCAAATACTTGGGAAGAAGAGTTTATGGGAAAAATCAATTCATTGAGGAAAAAAAAAATCAAAAATCATTGTGAGCTGAAATCTGCGTCTCTCCGTTCTGGACAATTGCCATGCTGTCACCCACACGTTGCTTGGCATCTCCTGTCTTCGCCCAGGACGCCACCGGCTGGTGTGTGGGCACAGGCGCAGGCTTCTGCTGCAGCCCCTTTCGCTGCCTAACAAGACAACCTCGAAGCATGTGCATATCACGATGTCTAGTTTTCTCCTTACAAGATTCTCTCACAAAGGTCTTCCTTTGGCGTGTTCCAGGAATGGGGGTAGCAAGGGAAGGAAAGAGAAGGTGAAGCGGGGAGAAACTGTAGCTCTACAGACACGGTGACTTCCACGGGAAACCAGGTCGTCTCTCCCTACGGACCTGTGGATATATCACTGATGTCCACCTCCGCAAACTACAACACGTCTAGGAGAGACCCCTGAGGGAGGACGAATGTGGGGACGCAGGTTTAGAAGAAGCCACGGTCAGGAGCTCAGCAGAGCGCAGGACAGGTGTGAGGTCGGCAGGTGGGAAACAGCAGCGGTCGCCCACCTGAGCCCTTGTGCCCACCGCACGTGCCCTGTGCGCTCTGAGGAGAGGCGTGGTAAAGGAGAGGCGAGGCCCCCGCCCTGGAAGCTGGCACACAAGTGACGACTGTACTCACTCTCGTCCCTTTTGTTCCGGGGAGTCCTGGTTCTCCAGCGTCACCCTGGAGCAGAGCAGAGATGCCATTGTGACCACTCCTTATCTCAAGATCTAGATGATCTTACACCCTTACCCCCTTCCCCTCCCTACACCCCCTTCCCCCCACCCTGCACCCCTGCCCCACCTCCCTTCCCTGCGCCCCCTGCCTCCAATTACACAGTCAGGCTCACCTTTTGTCCTGGTGGTCCCTGGGGCCCCTCAGGTCCTTGCATTCCAGGAAACCCAATGACACCTTGCAACCCGGGGAGGCCTCTTTCCCCCTGCAGGAAAGGAGCATAAATCAGGCAAAAGGCAGGATGAGAGAAAGAGAGGAAAGGAATCGGTGATCACCTGTGATGGTTAATGGTAGGTGTCAACTTGACAGGGTTAAGGGATACCCAGATAGCTGGTAAAGCATCATTCCGGGTGTGTCTGTGCAGGTGTTTCTGGAAGAGACTGGCATTTGAACCAGTGGACTGAGTAAGGAAGACCCACCCTCACCAATGTAGGCAGCACCATCCCTGCCTGAGGGCCCAGACAGACACAAAGGCAGAGGAAGAGTGAACTCCCTCTCTCCTCTGGGCTGGGGCACCCGGCTTCTTCCTGCCCCGACGAATCAGAACTCCAGGCTCTCGTGAACGGCATCCGTGGCCTCCCGGGTTCTCAGGCCTTCAGACTGGGCCGAGCTACGCCACTGGCCTCGCTGGTTCTCCAGCTTCCAGATGGCCTGTCGTGGGACTTCTCAGCCTCCATACTCACCTGACCCAGTTCCTTCTCGTCTATCTACGTGTCTATCTACGTGTCTATCTTTTTATCTGTCATCGGTCCTATTGGTTCTGTTTCTCTGGAGAACCTCATACATCAACCTTTCTAAGTATCAACCAACACTGCACAAGTGCATACTGAGTGTCTGAGAATAGATGCCAAGTCCTATTTCAGGTGGCTTTTCTCTACTCTATTTTAAGCTCCTGAGGACAGGAAATACTTGCATGTGATACAGGGCACGATGCTATATACACTAAATGCTATATACTAAATGCTAAATAATTTCTTGGGTAAATAAATAATGAATAGTGAGTATTTTTTTTGCTGAATTAATTACCTCAATTAATGAACTCCCTTATTATTTTTTTTTCCTTTTTTGTCTTTTTTCATGACCGGTAACGGGATCGCAACCCTCGGTGTCACGCCCGTACCGCGACCGGCAACAGGATCGCAACCCTCAATGTCGCACCCACACCACGCTCAACCAGTGAGCAGACCGGTCTCTATATGGGATCCAAACCCTCAGCGGGAGCGCCTCCGCGCTCCCAAGCGCTGCACTCTACCGAGTGCGCCACCGGGCCGGCCCAAACTCTCTTATTATTAATAGGCCCCATGCTGAGATTTTGGGGTCAGAGCATCACTTCTGTCTTTCTCTTCAAATGCCTTTAGAAGGTGTGTGGAGGCAGAGTTTGTAGCGTGGGTTTCAGCACAAGATGCTGAGACTTCCCCGTGCAATCAGCAAGGTGATGGTGTGGTTTGATAACAGGTGTGTCTCAAAAGTACTTTTTGTAAAGGTAGGATCAAAGTTTAATTACCATCTCTGTTCCCATGGAGCAAACAGAAATAAGAAACACTATTTTTAAAATAAGGAGTATTATTCAGGGTACACACACATGGCAGGCATCGCAAAGGTTGTAAAATCTCGAAAAGGACAAAGAACGGCCCCAAAGGCTTTGTGGGATTCTGAGCCCTCTGCCAGCCCTTGAAGGATGAATGAAAAACAAGTGTGGGAAGAGAAGGGCACAGGCAGAGTGCAGGGGCTGGAGGCGGAGATGGGGCTGGGCAGGTAGGTCTCTCCCACGCGAGCACAGCTGGCTACCAAGAGGAAGCACACCGGGGCGAATACGTGGAGGACCGAGCCCTCAGAGTTGGATCCTGGAAATGATGTAGTATTTTAGGAAGACTGCCATATTCAGGTTGCCAATATAAAATTTCTCATTCTCATGATAAGGAAACCTACTTTTCCACAGTGTGTGGAGTTTCGTGCAATCTTACAATACCAACTGGGTAGATTAAGTAACCCCTGTTAGCTGATTTAAAGACAGAAGGCACTTTGGAGATTACCGGCAGGATTATCTAGTGCTCATTGCTTTTCTCAAAGTTATATTGCTTTAAGGTAAAAATAAACTGCCAAGCTATACATTACATAAGATAAACATTAATCTCCCAAATAGCACATTACCAGGAGTTACTTAAACATTTTTTGCCATCATCTAATTGAAATGAGACAAAGAAAGAACTTTCAAAGTCATCCAAGCCACTCAGCCTGGCCTGGTGCTTACGGGTGAATTTTTATCAATGCAGCAATGAGGCTGTGAACTTGGGACTCCAACTGCACCTCCGTGGGGTTGTCTAAGTTTAATTGGAAGTACAAGTCAGGAGTCCAGAAACAGCATTTGAATAAATGTGGAGAGATTATTTCAAACTCTAGAGGAAAGGATAAAATAGCAAATGGATTCAAGAAAACGAAGCCCTCTGGTTTGGCACACCCCTTTGGGCCAGCAGCATCCCGGGATCTACCAGAAATAGCAGCTGGTAACACGCTGAGGGCCTCACACAGGGGTTGATGCAGACGCTGACTTCTCGCTGGGGCCTGGTGATAACCAGACAGAAAAACATACCCAGACCAAAACTTATTCAAAGAGCTACTTAAACATGTCCATCCTTAACCTGCAGTCGTGGCAACAGAAAATCCTGGGGCCGGCCCGGTGGCGCACTGCTACAGTGCGCCACTTGGGAAGCACGGCAGCACTCCCGCTGAGGGTTCGGATCCCATATACAGACCGGCCGCTCACTGGCTGAGCGAG